TATTTCCCCATCCTCATATAAATATATTTGCATATGTACATGTCTTTATCTAGACCTCTATAAATGCCCTTTTCCTCCCAGCTCTTTCCTCTATTTCCCGATTACCCTCCTGTCCCACTATCATGTGGAACTGTTCTTTCAAAGCACGGCATGTTTCCACTCGATGCTCTTTTCCTGGTCAGTCAGAACCTGAGGCAAAAATTTCTCAGCAACCTTTCTCATCCCCAAATCTTGTGTTAAAATCCACTGAACTGAGATCCAAGATAGTCCAGATAACTTCCCTATCTCTTCTTCAATGATCCATCATCAGTCTTTTAGCACAAGTACACGAATTTTGTTGATATTTTCATCCATTCAGGAAGTCAATAGACGTCCAGATGAGGTTTGTCATCAATTGACATTTCACCTTTTTTGGAAATGAGAAAACCATTCTTACACTTGTGTTTATCCCATAGTGCTGTCCTTGTAAGCTGTGTTCAACATCACAATAGTTTCTGTGGCATTTTTCCAGAGCAGGAAACAAAATTCACAGCCGCACATTGTTCACTTAAATCGCACAGCACAAAAAATGAGGTTTGAGCAAAACAACTTTTATGAAAAAATTCACTGTGACCAGAGAGAACCTTCCCAGACAATGCCATTGAGTGCACTAGCTCAGAGTGAGTTGCTCAATGCTCACCTAGTGGGAAACATGCATACTCTGAAAGCTCAACCAGGTGGAGCTACCCCCTCTTGCTTTAATTTCTTGAACTAATGTCTCTTCTATTGTTGCAACTTCACATTTCTTACTAATTGTACAGCAAAGGATGAAAACTCCTTTAGGAGCACACTGTTTGGATCAACTTCACATGATGTAATACTGCAATGAAGTGGTGGACTTGTCATCAGCAGGGACCAATTGATGGAGGAGGACGTCATGTTTGATAAAGTAGAGGGCCAGTTGAGCAAGAAAGACCCTCAGTTAGGTGGATTGACAGAACAGTTAAAGTGTTGGTTGTGGGGTCTGGGCATATTTTGTTCTGTTGTACTTAAGATCACCAATGGTATAGCCACTTTGGAAGACAATTTGGCAGTTTCTTACAGAACCAAACACAGTCTTACCATCAAAATATCACCATCTAATTGATACTGACTCATAGCAACTCTACAGGCCAGAGTAGAATATCCTCATAAGATTTCCAAGGTATAATCTTAACAAATGCAGATAGTCACATCTTGCTCCCATGGAGTGACCAGTAGGTTAAAACCATTGTCCTTTTTGTTAGCAGCTGAGTACTTAACCATTATGCCACAGGGAGTTCTTAGTCTAACTGTATGACCTAGCAATGCTCTCTGCTGGTATTTACCCCAGTGACTTCAAATTGATGGGGCTTTCTCCTTCTGTAAACAGTTACAGAAGAAACTCACAGGAGTCGCTGTGAGTCAGTATTGACTCAACGGCAGTAAGTTTGGTTTGGGTTTATACAAAAGCCTGCGCTTGAATGTATGTCACACTTCCATCACAATCCCCAACCTTGGAAGCAACCAATCAAGATGTCCTTCAAGAAGTGAAAAGATATAAGTTTAAATTGTGGTATATTCACATCATGGAATATTATTCAGCAATAAAGACAGATTCTTTACCTATCAAGTCATGAAAACACATGGAAGACACTTTTATGCATACTCGGTTCTGCCAAATTTAAATTTATGAAACCCAATGCAATTAAAATGCTCTAAAGCATAAGGTACCTGATAACGATGAATAATTACTTACATCGATGCTTCCCACACTGTTTTTAAATAAGCTAAAAGGCCACAAGAACTCATAAAGCCCCGGCTACAACTGACCCTTGGGATCAGGCACTAAGAGAAGGAGAGAAAAATGTGACGGATGCAGAACCTCAAATTCCTACCAAGAAAAAGTGGGCTGACTGGACTGACATGGGAAGATTCCTTGAGATACACTTTAAAACCTTTAAAACTTTGAACACAAAATAACCTTTCAGCTAAATAACAGATTGGCTCACAAAAGTAAGACTACCACCCAAGAGTACTGTCTCTTTAAACACACACACACACACACACACACACACACACACACATTGTCGTCATCATCATCATCATCATCTCTGTGGGACCGAACCATCAACAATTACTTTAAAACAAAGATGATCGTGTAAAAAAGCAGATTAATGGAAACACAAAGAGTGCTCTTAGCGTTGTAAGAAGATCACCCATGTCACTGAACAACTTGTGTACAAATTGCTGAATGGTTGAATGGGAACCTAAACTGCTGGGTAAATCATCACGGAAGATACAATAAAATATTATTAAAAACAACTTTACTGTGAAAGGGACATAAAAAACTTTTAAGTTGAAAGTACTAAAAACATGATCCTTAATCAAGAGTGAGGTTAACTTCCTTCCTGAGCGATTAATGCTTATTTCAGTCTTGTTCTCCTAGTTCCAATGTTCCTGGAGACACCCTGACCTTGAAAGTTCATTGTTCTCAATTTTGGAAAATAATTCTTAAACTCTGTTTGTTAGAGAAATTTTATTTACTCATTTTTAATCACATGGGTTAGAATATGTCATTTTTAGGGGGTGATATTGCTGTGTGCTCCCACCTTGTAGTCACATCTCTCTCCGATGCTGACCCGTGACACCCACTGGGTCTGTTCTCCAGCCTTTTCCACAATATCAACAAATAGAATCACACACTTTGGAATCTAGCAGTGTTTTTGAGACTCATCCCTAAAGCTGATCTCTGTAAAACCCTCCCCCAAATCACAGTACAAAGGGTTTGGATTTGTTTTCTAAGTTTATGCCTTTTTATTGATGGGTAGCACTCCATTGTAAAGATCTACTTCAGTTTGTTTATCCACTCACCTCTTTAAGGACATTTGGGTCTTCTCCAATTTGGGGCTATTATGAACATTCGTGTATAGATTTTTTAAAAATAAACTTAAGTTCTCATTTTTTTGGTGGAGCAAATACCTGGGGATGACACAGATCATACTATGGTCGTGTAAGTCCAACTAGCTAAGAGACTAAGCATTGGGCTGCTAACCACAAGGCCAGCAGTTCGAAACCACTGGCTACTCCTTGGGAGAAAGACTGGGCTTTCTACTCACATAAATAGTTAGTCTTAGAAACTGACAGGGGCAGTTCTACCCTGTCTATAGAGCCCCTCTGAGTAGACATCGACTTGATAGCAGTGAATTTTCATTTAAACAACCTTTTATTTATGAGTGGCTGTGCTGTTTTACAAAGGACCCCTGGCTATGCTGTAGAATAAGCACTGGACTGCTAACCACAAGGTTGGAAGTTCAAACATATCAGCTCCACTACTGGACAAAGATGAGGCTGCTTCCTCCTAGAAAGATTTATACTTTCAGAAAGTTTAAGGAGTAGTTATACTATAGAGTTTATTTATTTTTTATTTATTTATTTTAAACATTTTATTAGGGGCTCATACAACTGTTATTGCAATCCATGCACACATCAATAGTGTAAAGCGCATTTGTACATCATTCTCAAAACATTTTCTCTCCACTTAAACCCCCATATTAGGTCCTCATTTTTCCCCTCCCTCCCCGCTACCCCCACCCTCATGGGCCCTTGATAGTTTATAAATTGGTATTTTGTCATATCTTGCCCTGTCTGACGTCTCCTTTAACCCACTTTTCAGTTGTCTGTCCCCCAGGGAGGAGGTCACACACAGTTAGTTCCTTGTAATTTATTGGCATACAATGCACATATCATACAATTCAATAGTTTACTCATATCAAGATGTATTGTACAATCATCACCACAATCAGTTTAGAACGTTTTCTTCAATCTTGTACTGATCGTTATTAGCTCCCCATTTCTCCACAACCTCCCTGCCATATTCCCCCAAAACGCTAGTTAATATCTCCATAGATTTTCCTATCCTGGAATTCATATACAGAAAAACATTTAAAAAAAAAGAAAACAAAAATGAACGACAATAAAAAAGTAAAACATAAACATTTCAATAGAAAAGAAAGCAGAAAGTATTAAAAACTAAGACATACTTACATGGACCATAAAGGAGATCAAATTATAGGATGCCAACTTTGAACCTAACTGCATCTGCAGACAGCCGCTTTCCAATGCAATGTGCGTGATAGCAAGGGTGTTCACGTCCTTGGCCAGTGGTCTGAGGGAATTCACCAAGATTAATTAGTTTTAATCCACGTATAATTTTCCATCATTTAAAAAAAAACTGATCCAGCTTTAAAATGGGTCAAAACGGAAATCAAATCATAAGATATTACATTTTGTCCCTAACTACATCTGCTATAATCAACTTTACAATGCTCTCTGTCTGATAACTGAGCTGTTCACATCCCTCAGCTATGATTGGAAGGGATTCACAAAAGGCTTAATCCATGTATGAACCCTTCAAATGCATTTTGGGCTTCCACTGTCATCCATTGCCTTCTGCAGACCAGGTGCTCACAATTTAAACTCTGGTGTCATTCCCTCCTTTACATTTGGATTATATTATTTAGAATCCTTCTATCACACAGGCTGTTGTTTTTCTTCTACATAGACTTAATTGATGCCACCCTTAGGTGGCTGTTTGTCTGAAGACAAGCCTTTAAGATCCCAGACAATATTCTTTCTGACAGCCGGGCACCATCTAGTTCCTTCACCACAATTTGCTGTAGTACCCATATCTTCAGTGATCTCTGTGGTAGTTACAAAATCCTGTGTCAATTTGGGACTTGAGAGGATTAAGAGTGAAGAGGTGAAGTCTAGTCTGTCAATCAGGTCATAACCAATGAGGCCTCTGTGTGGGCACGGCCTTCGCCTAAGGATTCTGGGAACTTCTGTTTTTCCTCATTGGAGGTGGGAGACTCTCTGCTCACTTCCTGAGAGACTCTCTACTGACAAGACACATGAAGCTATGATGATGGCAGCAAAAGCCCTGGACCTGGAGAAGCCAGGAGACCCCTTCTAGCATTGAGATGCTTATAATGCCACTGGATCCACAAGACTTCCAACCCACTGGCCTGTGATCTTCCTGCATTCGGTGTCATTGCATGTGCTTCGTGAGTCTGAAGAGGACTTTATAGATTGGTATCAGACTTATGGACTTGATCTGGACTGGGCTGGGATGTTTTCTCAATATTCAATTGCTCTTGTATATAAACCTCTTTCTCGTATACACATGAGTGTCTATGAATTTGTGTCTCTAATCTACCCAGACTAACACAATCTCTGCATGAGGTTGAGCACCAACCAGGGCCATGTCATATGAACAAATTGTTTTTAGATTAAGTGCAGCCCAAAACACTTTCATGCATCCATGGTTTAGATATGTCTCTGGTTCACTTTAGAGGCATGATTTTCATTTTATGTTAAAGAACATTATCAGTCACCCTCTGGGGTATCACTCCCACTTTCATCCAGTCAATACTGACTGACAGGAATGAGAATCAATTCCACGGCAGTAGATATCATTTGGTATTCACATCAGCAATACCAAGGAGTTCCGGTTGCTCAGATTTCTTGTCAATACACTTGGGCATCTTCATGTCTTTTTAATTTGAGTCATGTTAATAGGTTTATTCCCACTTGTCTGTTAGTTTGTTGCACTGTGGTGACTTGCATGTTGGTGTGATGCTGGAAGCTATGCCACAGATATTTCACACACCAGCAGGGTCACCTGTGGTGGACAGGTTGCAGTGGGGCTTGCAGACTAAGAACAGACTCAGAGGAAAGATAGAAAATCCACTCTGGAGGGACTAGCCACTGAACTGTTTAGAAATATCAGCAGAATTTTGAGAAACAATGTACAAATGCGCTTTACACAATTGATGTGTGTTTGGATTGGGATAACAGTTGTATGAGCCCCTAATAAAATGTTAAAAAGAAATATCAGCAGAACCTTGTCTGATATAGTTTCCGAAGGTGAGCCCTTCAGGTTGGAAGGGACTCAAGAAGCTTATGAGAAAATATAATTAAAAGACAATGAAATATTTTTTCACACACTTTTTGAAGTCCCCTCTTAAATCCACCTTCGGGTCTGATTTCTCCCTAAAGAGGCATCTGTATGAAAATGGTATGACACAAATGACGTTCTTATTTCAAAAATTGGATTTTACCCAAACTGTGATCTCAAAATATCTATTCTGCAATCACTGAAACTGGGTCTTCCAGATGATCATGAATTTTAATTACTGTATATACATAAAATCAAAGATTTGGTCTTGAGCTACAGGTATTTGGATCACACAGCATATATCAAAGACCTGTTTCCTATTTTTAATTTGTTCCTTGCTCCAGGAGCCAGGGCCTTTTTTGCTAGAAGGATTGCAGCCTCAGCTTGGTATCAGTTTTAAATCTGATGGTACTGCCTGACAGACAATTCTTACCAAACCCAAACCAAGCTCACTGCCCTCGAGTTGAGGCAGACTCACAGCGACCCCGCAGGAAGGGGTAGAACTGTCCCTGTGAGTTTCCGAAACTCTCTACAGCGTAGAAACCCTGGTCTCTCTCTCCTGGAGGGGTTGGTGGTTCCAAGCTGCAGACCTGGCAGCGAGCTGCTCAATGAGTGACTACTACACCGAGGACTCCTTGGGGAAATCTTACTGCTAACTGAAGCCATCCACCACCTCCCTGTGAGTTAGTTAGCTAATGATGAAGCACTGTTACTTTTCCCTTCTTACATTGTTATTTCTCAAAACACTCTCCATCCAACAACTCTATGATGATAAAATTACATAGCTCCATTAGAAATCACCCCGGGTGGAACAAACTCCTGAGGCTTGTGTTCCTGCTGATGGGAATTGGACAATTTGAAGTTCTCGGATTGAGAATCTTGGCCCTCACTTTGACATGATACATAATTAATCCCACACTCCACCGTTACATGTTTGTGCTATCGCTACTACTTCACATGTGCTCCTATCTTCCTCCTCAGGTGAGAGGGAACAATCTATGGTCAACCCAAGAATAAAGTCAACCTGGATATCAGGTCAGACAGAAAAGGTTACAGGGACTTGGTTTCAGGGCTGAGAAATAATGGGGTATAGCTTCTAAGTGCCTTCCAGCCCCACATTAGAATATTCTTAGTTATCTTTGTGTGCCTCCCTTGTTAGGTGTCTGTTATCCAGAATCATAAATACTCATCAATCACACTGGTTGATATTCAAGCTGTGATTGTGGTTGTGTGTAAGGGAGTTGATTCTGACTCCTGTTGACCAGACATGACTGAGCACTACCCTGCAGTGTGCCTGGGCCACCATCTTCACTGGAGCAGATCCCCAGGCCGTTCCTCTCATGGAGGGGCTGGTGTGTTTGAACCACTGACCTCTTGATTAGTAGCCCAAATGCTTGACCATGGCACCATCAGGGCTCCTAAACTGGAATTGGGTCTCTGAAAAGGAAACATTATCCGTAAGAAGAATCGGTCATAGTGATACAATTTTGGATGATCTCTCAAGAACCTTCTTGACTGATGGAAGCAAGACTGAAACAAAAGAAAAACTCTTCTATCCTCTTAGAAATTACTGTTCTTTCACTTTGTTCTAGTAACAAAGTGGCACTCTGTGATGCTCACCTTCCCAACACAATCGCTGAAAACAAAATGGATGCATTAGCAAATGTGGTGAAGAAAGCTGACTGGCTGGCTATCAAAAGGTAGTGTCTGGAGTCTTAAAGGCTTGAAGTTAAGCAAGCAGCCATCTAGCAGAGAAGCAACAAGCCCATATGGAAGAACCACACCAGCCTGTGCAATCATGAGGTGTTGTTGGGACTGGGTGACAGGCATGAGAAGACAGCAAACAAAGACCATCTTGTTGAGAATGAGGGGGGTCAGAGCACAGAACCAAAACCCATCTGTAGACAATGGGACATTCCTTCACAGAAGGGTTACAAGGAAGGGATGAGTCAACCAGAGCACAGGATAGCACATGAAACACACAATATTCCTCTGGTTCCTTGAGGCTTCCTCACCCCCACTATCATGACCCCAGTCCTGCCTTTCACTTCAGGCTAGGCCGGTCATTGTGCACAGGTACAGATAAGAGATAAGACATCATGACCCATGGAATCCAGGAACAGGAATTGGAGTAGTGGTACCAGAAGGGTAGGGGTAAGATGGGAAGAGGAGGGGAGGAAGAGGGAACCAATCACAATGATTGACACATAACCACCACCACCATCGCCCCAGGGGGACAAACAATAGAAACCATGGGGGAAGGGAGACAGTGGGCGGTGTAAGATATGAAAATAACAATTTATCATTTATCAAGGGGTCACGGGGGTGGGGGAAGGAAGGGGCAGCAAGGGAGGGGAAAAGAGGAGCTGTTACGAGGGCTCACATAGAAAGAAAATGAATAGAAAATAATGATGGCAACATATGTATAAATATGCTTGATACAATTGATGTATGGATTGTTATAAGAGCTCCCAATAAAATGATCTTTCAATAAAATATATATATATATAACAAAACAAAAAACAAAGGAATTACTGTTCTTTGACAGCAACAACAAATAGCCATCAAGATTAATTGCACTCCATCTTCATTCCATCCGGGAATACTTCCCTTCAGTCATCATACTCCCGAAAACCAGCCAATCAGCAGCAGCTCGCTTCAGTGAACATGCTTCTGAAAACCAGCCAGTCATCCATACTTCAGTAGTCATACTTCTTTTCACTGGGATAGCCTCTCTGCCATTGAGTCCACTCCGATCATAACAGCCCTGTAGTGCAGGGTAGAACTGCTTCTGTGGGTTTCCAAGACTAACCCTTTGTTGTTGTTGTTGTTATTGGTGGTGGTGGTTGGTGGTGATGATAAGTGCTGTTAAGTCAGTTCCAACTCACAGGAGCCCCATGTACAACAAATGAAACATTGCCCACTCCTGTGCCAGTCTTGCAATTGCAGTTACCCTATATATGAGCCACTGTGTCAATCTATCTTGTCAAAGGTCTTCCTCTTTTTCGCTGCCCTTCTGTAGCACTAAATTAAAATGGCGATGAGGAGGTGGGGGGCCAGCTCCCACCGCTAATCGAGGGCTCAGTAATACTACTTCTGGGTTCAGTAATGCACAAATGTACGTTTGAGATATATAAGCATTATATTAAAGTCATCGAGAGCATGAGAGATAATACAATAATACAGTCAGACATTGAGTTAGTTAATTGTGCCAGCCTTGCCGATAATCACATGTGGGGCTGGTTGAAAGGCGGAGGGATAAATGGGTGGTGAAGCCTCGCCTTTCTAGTTCTCGGGTCTCTTTTTTT